AAGATAAAGAGAGAGAGAGAGAGAGAGAGAGAGAGAGAGAGAGAGAGAGAGAGAGAGAGAGAGAGAGAGAGAGAGAAAAATACGGAATAAAAACAACATGTACTTGGTAATGTGCGATGTACTATTACATATATAAACGCACTATAATATATATAAGTATGATTGTTATGTCTTGCATATTTGAACACCGTTTTGACAGATTTAGTTTTTTGCTCGTTCAGATTGCAGGTCGTGCAAACAATCTTCATGCTACGTCATCTCATATATGTTATGAAAAGGTTTCTGTTTTTTATTAATAAATTATGACGGAAGTGAAATAATAAATAATTTGATCTTTAATTACTCATTTATTAAAGCAAAAATTTTAGGCGAACCTTCTTTAAAAGGAAAATGAATGATAGGCGAAGTGCAGAAAACTTTAAAGTACCTCGTTTTTGGTCCGTCTTTTCTCGCTAAATGTTTTGGTTTTCCACCAGCCTATATCGATTTCAAGTCCATTTTTTTAAGGAAGTTCTGGTGGAAGACAATTAATTAGGCCCGAGTTTATGATGGGTTTTAGTTTAATCTTGTTTTCATAAATTGATTGTTTCAGGATGTTAATTTTCAAGTTTTTTTTTTTTTTATATAAATATATTCCGTGCAAGGCTGTTGTATAATTTTTTACTCCGCTTTTCAGCTGCCGGTATCAACGAAAATTTCTCGTGGCGGAAATATTAGTTTTGCCCTAACCGATTCGGCCGTGGTTGAGGTTAAGTTCTCAGCTATTATCTCCAGTTTTACCTAGTTGTTGTAGTTAGCAAACCGCCTATTAAGTTTCGGTCTCAGCAATGCAAACCATGGAGAATCTTTATTCTCCGAGTAAGGTCAATTTACAGACTTCCTGATTAACAATAACACAAAAATTTAACGTTTAAGAATTTTTCGAAATATTTCCATCCTACAATGCCTGTTCCGCTGAATACTGTATCTAAATGACAATCTTTTCGGTGTTCCTTATTTGCCAATACTTATTTTTATACGTGATGAAATAACGTTGAGTCCGGATACACCAAGCAATAAATAACTTTTTCGACGTCCCGATTTCCTAGTCGAATCATTCAAATTCGGGTCAAGCACCTAGGAAAACGAAAAGATTTTTTAAATTCCAGAAATTTAAATTAATTTAAACGTCCCTGAAATCCGACTATCACGCTAACATGGTAAAATATGTCATTAGCCTAGGCGACAAAAATTTAACACCCAGAGTGATCGATGGGCTTCCGTGTTGACAAAGTCGGATACGTTTAGAAAAAACCTTTAATAACATTTTATTATAAATCATTTGTAATAAATCCTTAAAACTATAATAAATAGAAATTGGTTGATGAATATGGTCTAGTCCTTAGCGACGACTGTCTAATGGTTTTGGTTTTCCTTATAGTTCAATGGCAAAATTTATTATCTACTCACCTATAATCAAACAATGTGTCAATGTCTATCCTAAAAACAAATACATAAATTATTATTTCATATAAATGACCTTCTATGTACGCTACTAACTTGTTTATCTGTTTTCATCAAAGTGACTATGAATCAAATCTTCAGTTTACCAATAATTAATACTTCCTTTATATTTGCCTCGTTCTTTATGTCTTTTCCAATTTATCTTTCTATAGATTTATTTATGCATTTGTCATATACTCCTTGGCGATTTTTACCCATCTATTTATCTATTTAAATTTTAACCTCCTTTCACTCTTTCTCTGTCTGTGATATGATGTTGAATGAAGAATGATAAATAGCTAGATAGATAGATAGAGCGAGAGAGAGAGAGAGAGAGTGATGATAGAGTGTGAGAAAAAGAAAATACGAGCTAACTGATACAGCAATATTTTTATATACATTCCACTAAATAGAAAAACAAGGGACAGAAAGATATGGAGATAGATAGGGAGATATAGATGGAGAGAAAGAGAGAGTGAGAGAGGGAGGAAGAGAGTGATTGGTTGCCGATTTATTTATTAAAATTATTAAGATGATTAACGATTACCGATTAACAATAATTATAATTATTAATTATATTACAATTGATTCACGATTTATTCATTAAAATACCCGCAAAAGTGAGGTCTCTAGGACTTCCCATCAGACATAAATATTGTAAAACTAACAATGAAGTAATATAGATAGATAGATAGATAGATAGATAGATGATATATATAATACATAGATAGATTATAGATAGATAGATGGATGATAGATAAATAGATACATGATAGATGGGTAGATAGATAGATGATTAGATAGATACATAGATAAATAGATGGATGGATGATAGATAGATTATTAGAAAGATAGATGTAGATGGAGAGAGAGAGAGAGAGTGATAGATAGAGAGAGAGAGAGATGATGATGATGAAGATGGTGATGTTTATTCTGAACCTGAAATATGACAGTTGTACATATAACAGGTTTACGCAACTCAAATTTCTCAAAATTAAAGATGTAATCGATTACGATCTAACATGAAAAGCTTTTAAAATTCTAAAACTTGAAAAACCAAAATATCTATATACGAAATTTAATTACATGTCTCAGATTCATGATACTAGGTTTGCAAACTACCGTCTGCGTGTAGTTAAGCACAAAACAAAAACTTTTAATAGGTCATTCTCAGTAAAAAGTGCAATAATATTTTCGAGAATTCCTACACACTTAAAACTATGTCAAAATATCAAATATTTCCAGAATTAACTTAAAAATCATCACTTATCTAGTTATAATTGATGTCGTAAATGTAACTTCTTTTGTTATTTTGTCTTGTTTTAATTTTTTTATATTACTATTTGGTGAAGAAAGTTTTATTTGTAGATTTATATTGGTAATTTATAATTCATGATTTGTACTGCATTCTATTGAAAAGTATTTTTGTTCAGTTATTTTATTAATAATTTGCTTTTTAATTACTCAATTATTATGTAAATTAGAATATTTATTTCAATAAGCAATTTTAAGTAGAAGTTCACTGTAAAACCAATAGATGGAACATATTGACTTCAAAACTAGGGTTATTCGAGACCTTGAGACCAAATCTTGTGTGATTGATAAATAAAGCGTTCATCATCATCATCATCTGTTTGTCTGTCTCTCTCTTCTTTTGGCTCTCCTTTTTGATAGGTATCACTTTTTTCTTTGCATTCCTTTTCTTTTTCTCTCCCTTACTTTATTACCTTGCCAATATTCCACTCTTTACCACACACTCCTTCAAAATCTTTCTCTGTTTCCTCTCCCTATCTTATTTACCGGTATTTCCTTTCTTACCTTGTCACCCCATTCTCCCACTCTCTCTCTCTCTCTCTCTCTCTCTCTCTCTCTCTCTCTCTTCCTATCTATCTATCTATCTTATTTACTTGATTGTTGATTTTACAATATTTATGTTTGATGTGGCTGTAAACAACTGTTGTAATAGTAATTACGCGTTAGGTCCTAGAGCCCTAACTTTTGTGTATATTTTAATAAATAAATCGTTAATCAATCAATCAATCTCTCGCGTACTCACTCCCTCTCTTTCTCACTCACTCTCTGTCTGTCTCTCTCTCTCTCTTTTTTCTCTCTCTCTCTTTCCTCTCCCTATCTTATTTACCGGTATTTCCTTCCTTACCTGTCACCCCATTCTCTCTCTCTCCCTCTCTTTCTCTCTCTCTCTCAATTTTTATTAGTCTATCTTTAGCTGTCTGTACCAACATCTTCACCTGTCAAAACTTCCACTTTAAATATACTGATAATATCTTATACTCTCAAAGATAAAAAAAAAAACCCGGATTGTTGTTTATTTCGAATTGTATGTATTTGTATCGATATATTAATAACAACAATTTAATAATTTATTGAGCAGGTATTGGGTCAATTATTGGGTCCGTCTTGACTGGCGGGTTTGTAGAACTAATCGGCATTGCGCCATATTCAGTGAATTCGAACAATGGAGGAAGAGGACCCAATAAGTGACCCAATGCATTTTTTCATAAGTTCACCAACCTTAGTGCAAAGATCCAATATGCATAATCGGTTCGACACGGCGTTGATTCCACCCTTTATCATAACTGCCTTCGAAAAGGCCGTGGTTCAAGCATGGCACATGAAGTTCCCCAAGTCTTCTCAAGTTCAGGTCATCTGATTGTCACAAACCAATCTGGCACTGATATGTGAAGAGAGCGTGGTTGTCAGAGAACCTAGGGTTTCGTAAAGTTTGTGACAGATCAGAACGCGTTTTGACAGCGGAACAGTCGAAATAATGAGATTTCTCCATGTTGTTTGTTGGGTGGTGGACCTGACATTTAGTCGTCAATAATCGTTTTGGTCTACGACTGCATTTTTTTCAAGGATTTCGAACAACAACGAATATAAATCACTGGAATAAACCATTCAGCATCTATTGACTACACGCTTTGTTATGTGTACCTAAACTTAGCAATAAACATAAAAGAAGTGACAAAAATAATGGTTCAAATAAAATAATATAAAAATACATTATTTATTTACAAGTTTGACTTTCTCTGAAGGGCTTACAAAATGTAAAAGATTCATCTTAACAAAAATTTACATGAACTACATAAAATTAAACTACATAAATTTGCACTTTGATTGTTTATAAATAAGTTTCTTATCAAAATCTGTTTTTGCATGCTAACTTGCTAATCCGTTCTACGCTTTGTCAACATGAAATAGAACATATCAAAACTAAAACTATAGAGATTCTCATCCATGATTTTGAATAAATATATTTATAAAATAAAACAACAAAATTGGTGTTAATTTTTTCAATAGTACAATTTTGTTAAAACCTTGAACAAACACTAATTATTGATACCGTTTATTTTGAAAAATAAAGGTTATCAATTTTAAAATTGTGCCGGGTCTATCAGTGTATCAAACTATTGACAGTTGATGTCATCTGACACTTTGATGACTTCTTTCACCTAATTACAACTGAAAGCAGATCAGATTTTTTTCCAATTTACGTCATTACTTCATGCTTTTTACAAGGTTTTTTAATCATTTATAAGCAGGACGATAATTGACAGCTTGGATTAATGATAATTACATGCACAAAAGATCATTACCGCCCGTTATTTTTTTGTCGTTGTACGTATTTCTTCGCGTGCCAGCTTTGTAAATGCGGTAGTATGAAAATTGGACATGTAGGACAACACCGTAATTATGTTCGTGATGGCAAAAGGGTATTATTAGAAAGCAAAGTTTTAATAAATTATTTCTTTCAGATTTAGAAGGAATACGTATTAAGGTATTTGTACGTTTTGTGAGATTTCATCATGGTGTTTGAAGAATGGTGAGCCTACAGGTCGTTTTCGGTCATTCTGCCTAATCTCCTGCTTCAGTGTTGAGGTATAAGCTGAGAGAACTCCCAAAAATGGCAGAATGCTAAAACTTTGACTAAAACCACGAGGGCAGGCAGGTCAGGATATTTGAAATGATACAGACTTAGCTCTGAAGATGACGAAATGCCGGAATGTGTCTAACAGGATAAAACGATCAAAAATGACAATATTTTTATGCTAAGTTTCTTCTTGAGGGCTGTGGGATGACGGACCTGTAGTTTGGTCATTTCCGATTTGGTCCATTTAACTTCACTCCTCCAGTGCTGGAGAGATAAACTGAGAGAATGACATAACTCCCAAAAATGGTAAAATGCAAAAACTTTAACTATAACCACGAGGTCAGGTAGGTCAGGATATTTGAAATAATGCAGCTTTAGCCCTGATGATGGCGAAATGCCGAACTGTATCTGACAGGATAAAATTATCGAAAATAGCATAACACTTTTAGGTTAGGTTTCTTCTAGAGGTCTGTGGGATGAAGGACCTGTAGTTTGGTCATTTCCGGTTTCGGCTGCTTAACCTCACACGTTCCAGTGCTGGAGAGATGAACTGAGAGAATGACATAACTCCCAAAAATAGCAAAATGGTAAAACTAACAAAAACCGCGAGAACAGGCAGGTCAGGATATTTGAAATAATGCAGACTTAGCTCGGAAGATGTACTCGCTTCGGCGGTACATATACTAAAATTGGATAGCTCCGAAGATGGCAAAATGCCGAAATGTATCTGACAAGATAAAATGATCGAAGATGACATAATATTTTTAGGTTAGGTTTCTTCTTGAGGTCTGTGGAATGACGGAGCTGTAGTTTGGTCATTTCCGAATTGGGCTGCTTAAACTCACTCGTTCCAGTGCTGGAGAGATAAACTGAGAGCATGACATAACTCCCAAAAATGGCAAAATGCTACAACTTTAACTAAAACCACGAGGGCAGACAGGTCGGGATATTTGAAATAATGAAGCCTTAGCTCCGAAGATGGCGAAATGCCGAAATGCGTCTGACAGGATACAATGATCGAACACGAGCTAATATTTTTAGGTTAGGTTCTTGAGTCTGCGGGGTGATGGACCTGTAGTTTGGTCGTTTGCGATTTGGTATGCTTAACCTCACTCGTTTCAGGGCAGGAGAATTATAAACTGAGAGAATGACCCAACTCCCAAAAATGGCAGAATGCTAAAATTTTAATCAAACCACAAGGGCAGGCAGTCGGAATGCTCGGAAATAACGCAGACTCAGCTGTAAATATCGCGAAAAGCCAAAACGCGTCTGACAAGCCAAAATGATCGGAAACTTAATATTTTTAGGTTTCTTCTTGAGATCTCCTGGGTGATAAACTTACAGGTTGGCCGTTTTCGATTTGGTCTATCTAACCTCACTCGTTTCAGTGAGGGTTATAAGCTGAGAGAAACATAACTCCCAAAATGGCAAAGTGCTGAAACATCCACTCAACCAAAAAGGAACGGCCAATCAGGAAGTTGTATGAATATAGACACAGCAACGAAGTTGGCAAAATGCTGAAAATAACCAAATATTTTTAGGTTAGGTTACTTCCTGAAGTCTAAAGGCTATGAACTAGTAGCTTAGTTGTTTCCGATCTATTTAGTTTTAATTATCCTCGTCTTTCAGTGCTGGAAAGTTAACAATAGAGAGAAACAACTTCCAAAATGAAAAATAATAAAACTCTAACTAAAATAACAAGGACTGGCACGTCAGGATGTTCGGAAATAATCCAGACCCAGCTCTAAAGATGCAAAATGCTGAAATACGTCTTGAAGATCCAAATGTCCGGAAATGACCTAATATATTTAGACTAGGTAACTTTCTTATATCTTTAGGTTATGAACCAATACCGAGGTCGTTCCAGTTTGGTCTCCTAGTCTCACGTTTCAGATGTTGGAAGAGATACAACTGCAAAAATAACAAAACCAAAAAGGAACGGTCATCCAGGATGATGAATTAACAGCCAGCACTGAAGAAGGTTAAATATTGCCTGACAAACCAAAATTATCGAGAACGACCAAATTTTAGGTTAGAATTTTTCTTGGCCTTTTTGACCTCGCGTTTCAGTGCCGGAAGGTTATAAGCTGAAAGTTCAGAAGGAATGCAGTTTCAGCTGACGAGCTAATATTTTTAGGCTAGGTTTTTTCTTTATGTCTGCCGGGGTTTGAAACCATAGTTTGGTCGTTTCCGATCGATACGTTTCGATATTAGCAGTTTGTAAGATTAAAAAGACACAACTCCCGTCCTTATGTCAAAATTATGAAATTTTTTCTGAAATATCAAATACAGAAGGCCAGGATGAATGACAAAATTCAAACCCAGCACTGAAATAGAGAAATGCCGAGAGACAGACCAAGAAACATTTTTAGGTTAGGTTTCTTCTAGTTGATGAGCCTGAAGCTTGACGATGGTTTTCACCAAATTCAGTGGTGAACCTGCGTCTGTTTGGCACAACATTAAAAAGGGATCCTACTAAATAAAATATAACACAAAACGATCACTGAAGAATGCCGAAAACAGCTAGAATTGCCTGACCAGGTTGATCGAAAACGATCTACCTATCGACAAATTTGTAATTTTTGACTTTTTAGCTTTTTTTTACTAATGCCCAGTAGTTCTATTGTGTTATGGATTATGTAGTATATAGGAGGACACCAATCTTGAAAATATTGAAAAGTCAATGTCGATTGCTCACTTTTCTCTACATTTTCATCAGCGGAATTTCAGCGACAGGCGATAATTTGCCTAACGATCCCGAATAATCTGGAATTATCTAACGCGATTTTTTGTCATAATATCGAGTGAAAAATATACCAGTTCATTAGCTCCGATATGACAACACAACACCGTCTTTATCTTATCACAACTGGCTGCCCGTCTGGTAGAACCTTTGCGAGTTGTTGTACGTGAAGATGTAAGGGTTGTCATCAGTGGGACAGAAGAACCTCTGAAGAGGGTAGCTTACGCTTTCCCTTGATTTCTCACCTACAGGCTCGAGCATGTTGTTCCAGAGTAAATTGGCCGCTGTAAGTCGAGAAAAAACCCATTGGATATATTTATCGTAAGGAAAATTCAAATTTGGAAAATACCCAAAGCATGCCCTTTTTGGCTGAAGTGGAAACAATCATGGGTGATGTAGGATATATCTATGGCCTCTTTGAATTTTTCAGTTGAATTTTTTGGAAGATTGAAAAACGTCATGAAAGGCTGGATGACAACAGTGTAATCCGACTTTTTGTTGTATCGACCGCTTTCAATCTAAAAAGAATAAACTATTTAAAAAAATGAACTCGTTTTCTTTTAAACACTTACCAATTTTTGCTCTTGGATTTGGTACTGCCTTGTCACTTTGGTTATAGAGGACATGACGTCCCCGGAACGGTGGAAGCAAGAACAGAACAACCTATGGAGCATTCTGCACATGAAGGATCTCTTGATTCTCACGCTCGCCGATACGTCTGAAAATATCATTATTAAAATATTTACTAAGAAACAAAAACAATTAATCATCTCACCTATGACAGGTACAAGGTTGACTATAGCCCTGGGCATGTTGTCCTGAAGGTAGTCCAACGCCCTCATCAACTTGTTGGCATGAGCTCTCGGACTGTAATCTTCTTTGTTATAGCACTGGGCAGAGCATATATCATTTGCTCCAAAAAACATTGTCACCAACTAGAAAACATACTTTTACATAAATTTCTTATCTAGAGTCTTCTGTGAAAAGCGAAGACTCGATTACATAAATTTGTTTTCTTTTTTTACAAGCATGATTACTGATAATGTGTGGTGATTAGTGACCGTTAATCGATAATTATTCAGAAATCGTGAGATGCGGACTGGTGTGATGTAGGTTTCAGAAAAACATTTTCTTTATTGTGCCAACGTTTCGATCTTTATTGAGATCATCTTCAGGGCTCAAAGTGTTTGTCTTCTGTGTAATTGTGCCATTCTTGCGTGTCGTGTTGAGAGTTTCCTCACAAGAATGGCACAATTACACAGAAGACAAACACTTTGAGCCCTGAAGATGATCTCAATAAAGATCGAAACGTTGGCACAATAAAGAAAATGTTTTTCTGAAACCTACATCACACCAGACCGCATCTCACGATTTCTGAATAATTACTGATAATCTATGAATTAAGGAACACGAAATATTTCATAAATTGCAACATTATCATTATTGATTACTCATAAATTTTTATGAGGACGATATTTTACAAAAGTGGTTGTAATGATTATGTATGTAATACCTCCATAAACGTATAATTAAATTGTCCTACAACCTTTTCCACACAAGTGGGTATATAATTTTTCTATCAGCATAAATTAAATCAATAAATTGAAACTCCTTGTTCTTAACAAAGTCTTCAATAGCATTAACAGGCGCGAAATAAAAAAAATGATAAAACTTGGAAATAATATAGACTCAACAAGATTGCTATAAATATAAGCATACATCTCAAAAAATAAATAAAAAATAAACACAAATTAAATTTGTTTTACAGAGGTTAGAAATCATGTTTGAAATGGATGGATTTTCAACAACAAACAAAAATTCAGTCTAATTTTCATATTTATTTTATAAAATGCAATTTGGCTGCCTACTGGATCGACTAGCTTCTTTTCCTGCTTTTTAAAAACAGGTTTTATTTACTGACTTTATTCATAAGTATTTCACACAGCCTTCACCTTTTTGAAATACGTCAGAACTATATGAATAATTTAATGCATATTTTCCAAACAAAAGATTTCAAATTCCGATCAATTCGTCTATGTTTTACCTATTCATTCGTTAACGAACGAACACACTCACGCAAAAAGACGCAAAACGCCCAGTTTTCGCTTTTTGGATTCTCCTAATTTCGAGTTTACATTTGGTTTCTTTTTGTAATAAACTGTTTATTCTTCCTAGGTCAGCCGAACAGAACGAATAATATTCATAAAATATTGGTAACTATGAAAAACGCAAAATGGGGCAAAACATTCAATTTTGACTATTTGGGATTTTCTATTTTCAGGACTTTGTAAATTTGTTAATCGTTTCTTTTCGTTATAAACTGATTATTCGTCATAGTCTAGACGAACAGGACGTATAACATTTGTAAAATAGAAGCAACTGTGGAAAATGGCAAAATTGGGCAAAACGCTCAGTTTTGGCTTTTTCGCATTTTCTAATTCCAGGACTTTGTAAATTTGTTAATCATTTCTATTTATTAAAAAATTTTTATTTAGCTTAGTCCAGACGAACAGAACGTCTAATATCAATGAAATATAGATAACTGTGGAAAATGCCTAAATGGGACAGACACTCAATTTTGGCTTTTTCGCATTTCCTAATTTCCGGACTTTGTAAATTTGTTAATCGATTCTTCTTGTTAAAATCTTTTTATTCAGCCGAATCCAGACGAACAAACGTATAATATTAATAAAATATCGGTAACTGTGGAAAATGGCAAAATGGGGCAAAACATTCAGTTTGGCTATTTGGGATTTTCTAATGTGAACACTTTTAAACTTTTAATTGTTTCTTTTTGTTATAAACTTCATAATTCATCCTAGTCCAGACGAACATGGGGTATAATATTCATAAAATATTGAAAACTGCGGAAAATGGGACAAAACGCTCAATTTTTGCTTTTTCGCATTTTCTAATTTCAGAATTTCTTAATCACTTTCTCGCTCCTTCTCATTATATATTTTCGTACCTACTCCTGGCTCTCTCCTCTCTACCTTCTCTTTTTCACTTTTTTCTATACTGCCATGCCTTTCTTTACCACACACTCCTTCAAACTTTATTGGTTCTCGTCCTATATTTTTAACCGAACGATGTGCATAAAGTCATTTAAAAATAAATATTCATCTTCGGGTAACTATAAACCATGGAGTGCCACAAGGAACAAATCTGTCAGCTACAATATTCGTTTTTTATGGCAATAAAATTAACAGTGCCGTATATGTATGTTATCATGGAATGTTCACCGACGATCTTAACATTTAAGTTTAAAGTTAGATAATATAAATGAAACTATTATTAAAGTTAACCAGAATCTCTACTACCTATAAATGAATGGGCACAAAAATCATGGTTTAGTGATTGATCCTAGTAAATACTGTTGTAGATTGTTGGGCATCCGCAAAAATTGGATTATATGAATACCGATCCAATAATATTAGAGAATGACATAATAACATTTGAAAATGCACTAAAGATACTAGGTGTCTTAATAGAAGATAAACCCAATTGGGTAAAAAAACTAGACTTGTTGTTAGTAAAATCTATTCACTTTTGACTACACTAGTAATGTGTTTGTTAGAAAGAAAATAATTAATTCACTCATAACACCTCATTTGCGATACAGTGCACTTATAATGTCTGATTTGTCTGATAAAAACAAACGTGATATACAAACAGCACAAAATGCACGTGTAAGATATCTATTAAAACTAAAGTACGATAGTATTATATGTGATAAATATAGGAGGATAAATATATTAACATATGATAAATTACAAAAAATGACCATAATATCAACAATGCTTAAAATTATACACTCTAACGACGCCAGGACGTGATATCTTTCAAAATCGATAAAAAGCGAAATTACTCTGAAATGGTTGAGAATCGGACCATGGTCAATATGAACTTTTTTGTTCATTTTAGGGTCAAGAATCTACTGGTGAAGTTTGTAGCACGAGTAGCAAGTCACTCTCAAACATTAGCAATCCTTGAACCACCATTTTTTCTCTTTTTGTCATCAACATCTTGGTCTCACAACCACTAAATAAGAAAATGACGAGTGCGTTGGAAGCGTTATTAAATCAGGTAGTTTTCCTCAAATTTGCTGCCTTCTGAGACTAAAATTAGAAACTCTGGATTACTTTATACACTTTCCGATTTACACAATTTTCCACTCTTTTTGTAGTTCTGGCTGAAATAAAACACAAAAAATTAGCCCAAACATTTTGCCACCGTCATCTTCTTATTGAAAAATTAACGGGAATTTCAACGGTGCTATTAGATTTTCAGAGAAATGTTTAGATTAAAAGATATCACGATTTTCCGACGCCAGGACGTGATATCTTTCAAAATCGATAAAAAGCGAAATTACTCTGAAATGGTTGAGAATCGGACCATGGTCAATATGAACTTTTTTGTTCATTTTAGGGTCAAGAATCTACTGGTGAAGTTTGTAGCACGAGTAGCAAGTCACCCTGTATATATATATATATATATCTTTCCCTGTCATATTTATTCTTCATCATCTGTTCCTCTGAATTCAATATTCAAGCTCTCTCTCTCTTTCTCCCTCTGTCTGACCCTCTCTCTTTCTCTCTCACTTTCTCTCTGCCTCTCTCTCACTCTCTCTCTCTCTCTCTCTCTCTATAAAAAAATTGTTAAATGTGTTAAAACCTGCCTAAAGAGTATAAAACACACTTCACAACACCAAGATTTAATAATGTAGAATATAAAAGTATTAATGATATATCAGTTAATTCAAATCTGAATTGCTGTAGGCTTCAAAAGAGACACACAATTATTTTCAACTTTTTTGTGGAAATCTATTGATATTTAGATCAATTCGACCATATAACGCAATTTCCAAGCTTTCAAATGACTCAATCGAGTTTTCACTAAAGGAAAAAAAGATACACTTACTTTCCAGGACTTTTCGTAGTCCACGCCGCGCGTGTTCCTCATCTTCAGGACTAGATTTTTTGCTTGCATCAGAGCGTCTTGGTCCGCTGAGACTGGAAAAGCGACGTTCAGTGCTGTCGTCGGGGTGAGGAAGGGTTCCTTTCCGACAGAGAAACCTTTTATTTTGGGGTTAAACACTTTCAGGATGTTGGGAAGGGTCAGAAAATTTCTCCAGTCGCCGTCTCCCCCTGGAACAAAAATCAAAAACACTGGAGTTTACATGGAGTTATGAGTTTATTATAGTTATATTTTATATATTACATATTATAGTTACTTCTCGCCCAAACAAAATTATTATTATACAAAGAATGTTTGAGTTTACAAAAATGTCATGAGCGGCACTCGAGCCCCCGACCTCCGTGGTACTGATCCAGCTGGCGTGGGTTCGAGTCCCGCTCGTGACACTAATTTTTCAACTCGACCATGTTTTACATAATAATTAAAGTAGTTACTTTGGTATAGGACCAACTAAAAACTAAAAGATTTATTAATACTTAAATTATTATATTTATTTTTAAAATAATAATTGTTTACAACAATCTTTCAGGGATTCATTATGCAAAATTTATAAAAGTAATGCTTTATTATCAAACAGTATTAACCGTAATTAGACTTAAAATAAGATCAATAATGTCTGTGTCTACTTCATTTTTAAAAATTGCATTTCTTCTGTATTTCAGAATGTCTGTTTCATCTTTAGGTCTGCAGAGCGATGAAGCTGTATTTGGATCATCCTGATCTGCCTCTCCATGATGATTTTTGGCGTTTCATGATTGTCAAAGGGAAATTTATGTTATTTTATCGGACTCGTATGTGCCACGCTAGCGGTTCTGGGTTCGACTCCCGGCATAATCCAATGCTTTTTAACCCTTTGTTGAACCGTTGCCTCAGGGCAATTCCAAATTTAGTAAATTGGCTTCAGCTTAGAAAATCCAACGAATTTAGGGCGGGTGCAGTGTTGTTCCTTCCGTGTTTCATCCCGTGTATTGGCAATACTGATTTTTTTGGCGCCAAACTTAAAACTCCATCTTGGAATCATCTCTCTCCTAACTGGTCTTTTATCGATTTTTATATATGCCAAACATAAATTTTTCATATGCAGTTTTTAGTTTAACCCTTCATTGCCCAAAGTTGCTTCAGATCCATGACAACTTGTGTTGTTCTTCATTGTTTCTGCCCGTGTATTATCTAGACTGATTTATTTGGCGCGATATAAACTCTCATTCACTAAACTTCGTGATCTTTTCAACAAAATGACTAAATATTTTAATTAATTATGCTTTTTATCTAAGGTTGGAGAAGCTCAAGTGACTAGGGCAGCGGTGTATTGAGCCGAAGGTCGTGGGTTCGAATCCAGCTTGTGACACTAGCTTTTTCATCTCAACCAAGACCTTAAATAAAAAGTATAATTAATTAAAATTATTAATACGGTAATAACTAATACATAAATACAAATACATAAATACATCTATGAATCAAAATTAACAAAGTTCGTCTTGCTGTAAGATATTCCAGTCATAAAGGGTTAGGGATAAAAAAGGGAGAATCCATGTTTTTCTCATAGACGTCACAGGCTCCCATGTAGGAAAACCAAGTGATTAGTATGTATATATGCCAGATGGAATCACAACAAACCACACCAAAATACTTTATGAAATTAAACTCTTTATAATTCTCCCAGGCGATGCCAGGTAATTCAGCTTGTCAATAATAAAAGCTAGTGAAAACTTAAAACAAATATGGCAGAGCAAGATGATCAGAAAAGACCAAAATTGCACGCCTCGCTGACCTAATGATGAAATCCCTCAATTAAAAATTATCATAAATCAAATTTCTTACAAATTATAATGTTTATTTTGTTAAAACATAATGTTTTGTAAGAGATAATTATAATTTGTACGTTGTGTCTAGGGAGAAAGTGCTGTTTGAGCGGGAAGACTGGTTCATACTTAGGTTCAGAGAGTGCAGCATTAACTTGACCCAAGTAAAACTAAAACGTATATTCCAAAGTAAAACATTGAGGGTAGTATTATAGTTATTTACTGCTAGGTAATAACTATTCATTAATATAAACATTTATCAATGGAATGAACTTATAGAAGATTATTAAGCAAATTAAGCAGACTTAGCTATAGGCAAGTTTTTTTTCTATTGGTTAATAAACAACAATAAAAATCTTAAAATATTTAATCTTATAAGACGCTTTTTTAGAACGATATTTGGGGAATTTACACCCATCATCAGCATATATTTTTTTCATTATATATAGTTTCTTTTAAAAGATGTATGACGATTTTACATCTGTCATTTAAGTTCATAATATAAAATTGAATTAATATTTAAAAAAGGAAAGATCACTTTCTGACAAGCCACAATCACTATGCTAATACTATAAAACTTACATTAGAAACGTACAAAAAAATTAATAGAATAAAATATCGATATAACTATTTAAAAAAAATATAAATGAAAAACATCACTTGTTGGCACACTAATAAACTTACTAAGGCAGATTATTAAACACACTGTTTTTTTGTTTTTTATTAAAAAAAAAAAAAAAATCTAATATATAGAGCCCTTACTTTCTAAAAGCATGGGAAATATGTTTTTTTACATACTCGCTTTAAAAGGATACTCCTCTAATATTATAAAAGAATGGTCGTATAGAAATATTCAAAATATAAATAAAATTAAAAATAATATAAAAACAAAAAGCTCGTAAAATATTAATAACATTCGGGACTCAGATACTAAGACATGAAAAAACGAGATGATATCGTATTTTTCAGTTCAATTAATTTTTTTTCAATCAATTTAATAATCTTTTTTTTTAATTTAATAATCACCTCAACTAATTTAATTATTGTTCCTTTCGGGATGTTGTAGTCGGGGAGAAAATTAATACAAACTAGTAGTTGCGAAGAACTTTAATTAAATTTAATTGAATGCAACGATTATTAAATTGGTTGAAAAAATTATTAATTTGATTTAAAAACGCTACGTTTTTATTTTTTGATTAAATACATTTACATTTTAAACATTTAAATAAAGGTTATCGCAAATACTAGGTCGTCTTTATTTTCAACCCTGACTATAAAATCCTGAAATGGACGATTAATAAATTAGTTGAGAGGATTATTAAATTGAATGAGGCTGAGAAAGAGAATAAATTTATACAATGTACAATATTTCATAAAAAATAAAAATATAGCGTTTTTCAGTCAAAATAATAATAATTAATAAAAAAGTATCATTTTCAAATATTTTTTAAAATTTAAATAAAAGATTTTGCAAGTACTAGATAGTATTTATTATTGGCCCTGACTATAAAATTCCGAAAGAAAGGATTATTAAATTGAATGAGGCTGAGAAAGAGAATAAATTTATACAATGTACAATATTTCATAAAAATATAGCGTTTTTCAGTCAAATTAATAATAAAATAATAATAATTAATAATAAAAGTCATTTTCAAATATTTTTTAAAAATTTAAATAAAATATTTCGCAAGTACTAGATTGTATTTATTTTTTATCTTGACTGTAAAATCCCGAAAGAAACGATTATTAAATTTGTTGAGAGGATTATTAAATTGAATGAGGCTGAGAAAGAGAATAAATTTATACAATGTACAATTATTTCATAAAAAATATAAATATAGTGTTTTTCAGTCAAATTAATAATAACATAATAATAATTAATAATAAAAGTATCATTTTCAAATATTTTTTTTTTAATTAAAAAAAATATTTCTCAAGTACTAGATCGTATTTATTTTTGATCCTGACTATAAAATCCCGAAAGAAACGATTATTAAATTAGATGAGACGATTATTAATTTGACTGAAAAATGCCATATTATTTTTTTGGGAGCATATACTATTATTTTATTTTGAGATTTAAAACCAAATTTTATGTGATCAACTCCATATATTTCGTTGTCACGTCAAAAGTTCGTATCTTTTTTGAGATATATTGTTAATATAATTAAGTGAAGATAATGTTTTAATGTTATTATAGCATTTTTCGGTCAAATTAATAACTTTTCAACCAATGTAACAATCGACTCAGTCAATTTAATTTAATTAATTGTTTTCGCAACTACTAGCTACAATTTAAGAAACGATTATTAAAAAAATATTAATTTGACTGAAAAATGCTATAATACTATTCAAAAATGAATTTTTTTAACTTACTTAAATTAACAATGTATCATAAAAGAGTCAGAACTTTTAAAACATATAGAGTTGATCACATAAAATTAGACTTTAAACTTGCAGCTAAAATAATAGTACATAACTCCCATAAAAGAAACTGGCTTTTTAAGTCAAATTAATAATTTTTCAACCAATTTAATAATCGACTTATTCAATTTAATTTAATTAAATGTTTTTGCAATTAAGCTTCTATTTAAGAGACGATTATTAAATTGATTCAGAATAAAATTAATTTGACTGAGAAATGCCATAATAATATTAACAAATTAATTCTCTTCACTTACTTACATTAGCAATTTATCATGAAAAGTCAGAACTTTTAAAACATATGGATTGATTACATAAAATTAGGCTTTAAAGCTCAAAATAAGATAAATAGTATGTAACCCCCATAAAAGATACTGTGGCTATTTCAGACAAATTAATAATTTTTTCAACCAATTTAATAATCGTTTCATTCAATTTAATAATCGTCCTTTTCGAAATTTTATAGTCAGGGGAGAAAATAAATACAAGCTACTACTTGCAAAATCTTTTATTTAAATTTAAAAAAATTAAAATTATTTCATTAAAAAATATGTGAAAATAATACTTTTAATATCAATTAATGGAGTGGCAGTGTTGCGGCAGCCATTGGCAGCTTTAAAAGGACTTCCAATGGTGCAGTCGGTGCCCGAAATGGAGTTGACATTTCAGCTTATTATTTCAATTAAGTTGTTAGCTCCGTTGGCTATAGCTAACAGGGTCTTCGAAGCTGATTCATTTAATTAAAAAATATAAACATTTGAAAAAGGACAACCGGTAACTCACTCTTTCGCAAATTTTTACGTGAGCTGTGTACTCGATGGGCTTTCATTATGTTACGCATTTACAGTTATGGAAAATGCCAGGATCCATAAAACTGCTGATGCTAAAGAGATTGTGGAATCGTTTTCTCGTACGATTACTTTCCTGCCGCCCTACTCGACTCTGAACCCTGTAGAGTATTCGTTCTCCAAAATTAAGACCGCTGCGAGGACCCTGTTCGCTGAAGCCTAAGGTACTCACAACTTAAGTGAAATAAGCTGCAGTATCAATTTTGTTTCGGGCACCGACTGCACCAATTACGAAATGGATTCCTTTTGAAGCTGTCAACGAAACGCGCAGGACAGCCACTCCATTAGTTGGTGTTAAAATTATCATTTTTCAAGCATTTTTATTTTTTGATATAATTATTTTAATTTTTTAAATTTAAATAAAGACTTTTGAAAGTATTAATTTGTACTGATTTTCTCCCCTAATTATAACATCTCGAAAAGGATGATTATTAAATTAATATTTATGAAAGGTATTAGTAGAGATAAAAAAGTCAGTGTCACGAGCGGGATCGAACCCACCATCTTCGGCTAGATACGCCGTTGCTCTGCCAATTGAGCTATCATGACTTCGATCCACTCGGACACTAACTTCTCATCTCAACCCCACCTTTTGAATTTTCCCTTAACTTACTTATACTAAAAAAGTCTGAACTTTTAAAAAATATGGAGTTGATAACATAAAACTTGGTTTGAACCCTCAAAATAAAGCAAATTGTAAGAAAATATACTATGACATTTTTCAAAAATTAATCATTTTTTCCACTAATTAAATAATCGTTTCATTCATTTTAATAATAGTTTCAAACCGATTCATTAGATTTAAAAATCGTCCCTTTCGAGATTTTATAATCGGGGTAGAAAATCAGTACAAGCTAGTAGTTGCAAAAACTTTAATTTAATTAAATTGAATGATTTGCTTATTAAATTCGTTGAAAAATAGTTAATTTGACTGAAAAATGCTATAATAACATTAAAAATTTCTCGTCACTTACTTATTTTAACAATATACCTTAAAAAGTCAAAACTTTTAAAACATATGGAGTTGATCACATAAAATTTGGTTGGTCCTCAAATTAAAACAAATTGTAAGAAAAGATACTATGACATTTTTCAGTCACATTAATAATTTTTTAAGGGATGATTATTAAATTTGTTTTGACGATTATTAAATTGAATGAAACGATTTTTAAATTGGTTGAAAAAATAATTAATTGGTCTGAAAAACGCGATAGAAAGAAAAATAAAACAATTACGTATATGTATCGATGAAACAAAAAACACGAGTAACCGGTTAAAGAACATAGCACATTTATATGAAATAAATAAAAAATGTCACAGGCCTTTCTCAATATATAAACTACTCAAAATATACACCAAAATTAAAAAAACCAAAGCAGACTGGATTTTGAACAAAATCCTTTTAGAAGAGAAACTTAGAATGCATAGAATGCACAAAAAATAGTGAATAATTTTTAAATAAAAAACTGATTAAAATAAATCTCTATTCACAAAAAAACAAAAACATTCATAAAAAATATTTCAAAATAATTTCTAAATTAAAAAATACACACAAATCCAACAAAATGTTTAAATTTTGGCGCAAACTTAAAATAGTTTTAAGACTTCTAAAAAACATCCTTAGTGTAAAATAAAAATTTTAAAAAATCTAAAAGGCTAAAATTATTTAAAAAAAAATGTATATTTAAAAAAGGTATAAATACACACTTACAAAAATGAAAATCATTTAACGTAACGCACATTTAAAAAATCCTTCCATCTTGTCATGGTACTTGTCCGCAAGTAAACCCGTTTTTTAAATATTACGTAAAAATAAAATACATTTTATATAAATAAACTTAAAAGAAAGATGGGAAATGGTCATATATCTTTCAAAAGAAACTATATATAATGAAAAAATTACAGATATTATAATCTGGTGTTCCCCAAGGCTAGCATCTAGCATCAGCACCTACATTAACAGCCTCTCCGACTCCATCTAGTGTTGTAGCTATCTAGTAAAAGGAATGGTAAAGTTCATGACAAAAATTCTGGCAAAGTAATTTGAGAAGATTTATATGTCATTAATAACGGTTCCAATCTGATCGTTGGTAGGGATTGGTTTCACATTTTTGGCCTGGATCTTGTTTTCAGAAATAAGGTCGCTCTTCCTCGAGATATTTCACAATATCCGGAAGTATTTTCTACTAAATTGGGTTGCTATAATATAAAAAATAAAAAAATTAAACACCGCCTATATCACCTGATTTATAAACCTGTTTAGACCTCGTCCAATACCGTTCCCAATTAGAAACAAAGTTCGAGAAGGATTGTATAGGCTGGTAAACGATCGCCAGTTGGTACCGGTAGAATGTGCTAATTGGGCATTACCTATTTTTCCAATACTTAAATCTAACGGCACTAAAATTTATGGGGATCACAATCATTAAATGAACATTTTCTTTATGCCAACGTTTCGATCTTTATTGTGATCATCTTCAGGGCTCAAAGTGTTTGTTTTCTGGGTAATTGTGCCATTCTTGCGTGTCGTGTTGAGAGTGAAGTTTGCAGTAAACTAGAATTATCAGAGGCGTACCAACAATTAGACTTGGATGAGGCTTGCAGTAAACTAGTAGTACGTCGCACAAGGTGTTGTTTACGTACCGAAGGGTACCTTACGTAGTATCCCCAGCCCCTAGAATATTTATTAGAAAAATGGAACAATTATTACTAGATGTGCACGGGTCATTGGGGGCATTCTTCTCATTTAAAGTGAGAAAAATAAGGATGAAATCATCACATACTATCAATAAAATTATTTTTAAATTGGAGTAATGAATTTTTAAGTGGAACACTGGGTAACGGAGGTAAAAAATGAATGCAAAAATTAAAAATACAATTTAAAAAACATTTTTAGCCTACTTTATTGAATGAATTTCTATTTTTTTTATGGTGATAATTTCACAAAAATGGTGATATTTTCAAAAGCTTCCACCGATCCAAAGGAAACTTTTCACCGGCTTACAAACAAATACAATACACATAATGGCACAAACCAGGTCTCTGTGAATAAATGAGAACCGGAAATTTAAAAATAATTTTATTGGGAGTTTGAGATGATTTCGTCTTTATTTTTCTCACTTTAAATGAGATAAAAGCTCAACTTTCTTGACATAGGCTGATAGAAGATAATGTTTGCTTTCTAATCGGTTTTAGCAACGTCAAATTTGGATAAAATTCGGGTGGAGTAATGAATTTGTCAGTGGAATATTGGGTAACGGAGGTAAAAAGAAATGAATCAAAAATTAAAAATAAAATTTTAAAAATATTTTTTAGCCTACTTTATTGAATGACATTATTTTCTTATCCTACGTAAAAAATATCTTTTCTCATAAAAATTCGTAATTAAGGGTTTAAAGGTGTGCTTAAACTAATGGGATTTGTATTTTCAAATACACATTTTTTGCCCTACTTTACGGTTGTTTTAATTTCATATTTAAATGATTTTTAAATGAAGACATCAAAGGTAAAAAAAAATGAATGAAAAATTAGAAATTTTTTTTAACCTACTTTATTGAATGCGTCTCGTTTTGAAACTTTGTATTTTATACAATTATTTCTATTATTTTCTTGTCCTACGTAAAAAATATCTTTTCTCATAAAAATTCGTAATTAAGGGTTTAAAGGTGTTCTTAGAACAAATGGGATTTGTATTTTCAAATACACATTGTTTGCCCTACTTTACAGTTTTTGTAATTTCATATTTAAATGATTTTTAAATGAACACATCAGAGGTTAAAAAAATGAATGAAAAATTAGAATATTTTTTAACCTACTTTATTGAATGCGTCTCGTTTCGAAACTTTGAATTTCATTAAATTATTTATATTAGTTTTTTATCCTACGAAAAAAATATCTTTTTTTGGTTTCTCGTAAAAATTCGTAATTAAGGGTTTTAAAGTTGCGATTAAAAGTAATGGGATTTGTATTTTCAAGCACACATTTTTTGCCCTACTTTACGGTTTTTTTAATTTCATATTTAAATGCTTTTTAAATGAACACGACATCAGAGGTAAAAAAAATGAATGAAAAATTAGCAATTTTTTTAACCTACTTTATTGAATGCGTCTCGTTTTGAAACTTTGTATTTTATACAATTATTTCTATTATTTTATTGTCCTACGTAAAATCTTTTTTTGATTCTCATAAAAATTCTTAATTAAGGGCTTTAAAGGTGTGGCTTAAAACTAATGGGATTTCCATTTTCAAATACACTTTTTTTAACCTACTTTACGGTTTTTGTAATTTTTTATAGGTCTGGTTTTATTATATACGATCCTAGATTTGCTACTAAATTACTGATATAAAACTAAATAAATAAAAGATATATCAAAGTTAAAGGTGAGATGATGGATCGACAGCAGGTTGTCAACAAAATCAATCATCTGGCAATTTATGTTGGATAACTGTGGATTACATAATAAAAAAAAACTTCACTCTCCAATTGAAAAAATGATAAAAACTATCAATAGTGCTCAAGGTGATAGAGGTTTTTCTTAAGATAGTGAAAAGCCTGTAACATTTGCTTTGGGGAGAAAATATTCCATAAAATTCAAACTCCTCTTTGATGTGACGTTATGTTGTACTCCTTAAATTTATACAGAAAGAGGTTTAGGTCTAAAGTTTTTTGCACACTGTAGGTACATTTTGACTTAGCACTACATCACCATGTTTTTATCTTGATACAATTTTTTCATAAATTTTTGTCGATCCACCTGTTACAAATCATATGTTAATCATCGAAATATAAATAAACGTCGATCTAGAAACGTCCTTTTTGAAGAATGGAAAACCACCCTTGATCGACACCATGCAGGACGCGACACTATACAAAATGGACATATACTGAAAAAAATCGCCGATCCTCGATGGACACTTTAGAAGGCGATCTTAAAGAGCTAAGGGCCTTGAGGAAGACCGCCTATCTCTCACAGGATTCTAAATCGGTCTCGTACGATGCGAGGCCCTTGGTCAAAAAGGAAAGGTGATTTTTTGACCAGAATACAGTCTTTACTGAGTTAAAACACAAATTTAATAAAAATATTGCCAGGATACAGACATACAAGAATAGGCGTACGTCTCGGTATGAATTGAAGCCGACCTTCGGTAAGAATCAAGTATTTCTTTAAGAAATTTTTCAAAAATTAAATCTGTTTTGACAATTGGACAAAAAATAACACAAAAAAGACTCGGACTCGACCAAAAATATATATTCTACTTAGGTGTAAAATATATTCACATGGAACGATTTGGAAATGAAATGTCAGAAAACGTGTGCAACGCTTAACTGGGACTTTACACTTCTCTTTCGTATTTCATAATTACTGGCCTGTTTTAGCCACAGTGTGCAATGGAAAATTTTGAATTAACAAATAAAATTCTTCTATAATTTTTTACGAGTCAAATCAAATATACTGTCCCTTTAAGTGGTTCTTTCCCAGTCATTGCTTGTTTTATTAATTATGTTTATCTTCCAATTCTATTTCGACAGGTCGTAATAGATTTAACTTTCCAATTTTATGGGGCAATGAAGATTTAGCAACTATCTCTTTTTTCCTTTAAAAGAAATGTCCTTGATCCGTATGAAAGGAGTTGCAGTCCTTGAGAATTGTCAATTAGTGTGTTAAATAGTATTTGTACGACAATACAACTTCTGAACGGTTTACATTAAAACGAACCGTTTTAAAACAAAAAAGAAACTGTCGTTGAAATAAAATCACTCATGACTATTGACAATTTCAACTGGAAAAGCTTTCACGCTTCGTGCTCTGAAGCACGACCGAACATAACAAGTGCATAGCACGTTTCATCAAACGTGCATCAACAATCACTCTAACGTATTACAGTAAAAGCTTTTCTAAAACATCATAGAATACAAATTGCTTTTTAAAAACAATTTTTATTCTGGGATAGAGAAGTTTAGCCCTTATGATCGATGGCTTGACAAGAAGGTATAACAAAAGTAGAGGAAGAGAGAGAGAGAGAGAGAGAGAGAGAAAGACTGAGAGGAGAATGAAGTGAATTCTAAGTTTAAGAGGGGAGAGAGCAAAAGAAGGAAAGAAAGTAAGGGATACAGAACGAGACAATGAAGGAAAGGAGAGACCCTACAGACAGCCAGAGAACGACTGAATGATTGGATGCAGTTTTATTTAATGTCGCAGAATTCGACTCGCAGAACAAGAAGAAGAAGAGAGAGAGGAGAATGAAGTGAGTTCTAAGTTTAAGAGGGGAGAGAGCAATAGAAGAAAATAAAGTAAGGGATACAGAACGAGACAATGAGGGAGAGGAAGAGTGAGAAAGAGGAAAAGAAAGTAAGAGAGAGAGAGAAAGTAACATAAAGTGGCAAGGAAAGTAAACGATAGATAGGTAGAGAGAGAGAGAGAGAGAGAGAGAGAGAGTGTGAGAGGGGAAGAAAATAAAAGAGAGTAACAGAAAGTGGCAAAGAAAGTAAAAGATAGATAAATAGATAGATAGGTAGAGAGAGAGTGAAAGGGAAAGAAAAAAGGGGATACAGAACGAGACAATGAAGGAGGGGAGAGAGAGAAAGAGGGAAAGAAAGTAAGAGAGACAGTAACAGAAAGTGGCAAAGCAAGTCGAAGATAGATAGATAGGTAGAGAGAGAGTGAAAGGAAAAAAAAGGGATACAGAACGAGACAATGAGGGAGGGGAGAGAGAGAAAGAAGGAAAGAAAGTAAGAGAGAGAGAGAGAGAGAGAGTAACAGAAAGTGGCAAAGAAAGTCAAAGATAGTTAGATAGATAGATAGGTAGAGAAAGAGAGAGTGAAAGGGAAAGAAAAAAATGGATACAGAACGAGACAATGAAGGAAGGTGGGACCCTACAGGCAGCCAGAGAACGACTGAATGAATGGATGCGGTTTTATTTAATGTCGCAGATTTCGCCTCGCAGAACAAGAAGAGAGAGAGAGAGAGAGAGAGAGAGTGAGAATGAAGTGAGATGGACAGAGGGGTGAGAGAAATAGAAGGAAAGAATGTAACGGATACAGAACGAAAGAGTGAGGGAGAGGAAGAGGGAGTAAGAAGGAAAGAAAGTAAGAGATAGAAAGAGAATGAGAAGGAAAGAAATTAAGAGATTGAGAAAGAGAGAGAGAGTAACAGAGAGTGGTAAAGAAAGTAAAGGAAGAGAGAGAGAGAGAGAAAGAAAAAGAGAGTGAGGTAAAGACAGAGAGGGAGTGATAATGGGAGAAAGAAAGAGAGAGGGGGCGACATAGAGAGAGAAAAATGATGAAGAGAAAGGAACATGAGTGGGTGGCGAAAAAAAGAGGAGGGCGATAGGTAGACAGATAGATTGATTAAGAAAATGATAAAGAGGAGAAAAAAGGGACTAGGGGAAAAGAAAGATTAGGAGTAAACGAAATACAGGGAGAAAGAAAGACTGAAAGATAGAGGGACAGTGTGTTGGAGTGAGTGATTGACAGAGAGGTAGACAGAGAAAAAGGAACAGAGATATACGTAAAAAGATAATATAATAAAGAAAGATTTAAAAAATGTCAAAGAGTGAGAAGAGTAGATAGATGAGGAACACAAACAAGAATGACGGAAAAGAAGAGATTGTTGGTTCGTTGAAGCATATAAAATATCCTCATTATTATATTAAAAAACAACCAGTAACGACCAAATTACAGAAAGATAGATAAATCAAATTAGAGGGAGCGTTTGGTGTCATATATGTATACAATACACTAATACACACTCATAATTAAGGACAAAGGGGAGGAAAGATGTTTTAACATAAGTAAAAATCTGTTATTAACGAAATATCGTTGGCTGTACTACCGTCGACTATCAATTATTCGTATTTATTATTGTGATTTTTGTATGTTTACGATTATCGTTCTTGTGTTCCAGGACCGACTAAGTTCGTGTACGAAGAGCCCCAGAGCTACCCGATGTTCTCGGAAGATACGTACAAATTGCTGAGGTACGGCGCGATGATCTTGGACGTGCTCGCATTGCTTCACGTAATCCCGGCACCGTTCGACCACCCTTGTCAACCGTTTCCGTACCCTTCCCTTCCAAAGCCGAACCAACTGAGGTACAAGATCGTCGAGCCGGACGATCCGCCAAGTCTTAAAAGTTAACATGGTGATACTGACTTAAGGGAATAAACATTCTTGTTTCAATAATTTCTTCCATTTTGTTAACAATTTTAAGCTAATTTCAATTTGTGTATTTGTAGCCAAGTGGCCGTATGTGAGATTACATGCCATACCCTGCCGTCTAGACCTGCTTTGAATACGTGGAGACATACTTCTGAAAGTTACATCATGCGTTCACCTCATGAGAGCCATGTTTTAACCAGGCTGTTGGATCCTAAAATAACGTCGAGGAAATTATACGTTTCCCACACTGTAAATAGCCACTTACGGGACATTGGTACAATTCCCAAGAAGATTATCGTCCTCCGAGGGCCAAGTATGTCAAACTTCTGAAAAACCTCCACAGATTTTCTTTTCATTATGAATCCTACTCACACAATTGATGTTTCAACAAGTTTAAGCAAGTAAAATTGCGAGTTCATTGACCTACCAGGTTTGGTTAGGGAAGGTTAGGGTCCAGGTTAGGTTTGTCAATGATGGAAATGTTGGACAAAAAAAAACAATATTTGATGAAAGTTAAGATGCTTTTCAAGAATCACATGTGTTAACGAAAGTTCTGTTATAAGTTCCTATTAATCTTACCCACACTTTCTTGGTTATGTTACTTATAAACTTCTGCTATACACTGATAGACAAATTTAAGATACCACTCAACTTATTTAGTTTAAAGTTTAATCCATTATTTTTCTCCATTAATTGCAGGAATTAGGAGCTATCGTAGGAAAATTCGAACGGTTGTACGCTGAGATGAAGAGATGGTGTCCGAGGGGATCGAAGTCACGATAGCTTTAGTGCTTAGAGAAGCCGCTTATTGAGCCGAAGGTCGTGGGTTCGAATCCCGCTCGTAACACTAATTGTTCATCTCAACCAAAAACGTTATATCAAAAGAATAATTAATTGGGTCAGTTATGACCACAAAACAAATATGGGTTATATTCAGGTTTAGTAGATTATATAATACGTACCAACGGCCCAAGAAACTCCTCTAGATTCGATAAAAGTTCCAAGGGCGTAGTCCTCCATGGCTCCATTTCCAGCTACTAAGGAATCACCCATGGCGGCTACGACGTCGATATCACCCGGTCGGACCCTGTCGACAGATTCCGGTGGAATTTGTGACCTCGGAGAAAAACACGGAAACGGGACATTCGGAGGGATCTGTCCTTGTTTTCTCAACGACGACCTGCCCATCTCCGACAGCCACCTCTGGTCCTGGAAAAGTAAACGAATGAACCGTGCGTTCTACTCGGACGAGTTCGACTTCCTCACCAAACTCCCGGAGACGTCGTACGGCGCGAATGTCCGCAGGCTCCTCGATCTCTTCCTACTCCCCCTGGCCTCCGCCGTCACCCAAATTAATAAGAAGATTTGGAGGAGAAGGCGAAACTTCATGGCAGCGAATCTCCGGGAAGGAGAAGCCACGATATAACTGAAAAATAAATGTAAATATAATGGAATAAACATATAAATTATGTATATAAAGGTGTTGGGCTACTCGTGTTAAAAACTTTGCCAGTAGTTTCTACATTCAAAGAGGAACCAAAAAGTACTAATTAACTATGGTCCGAATCTAAACAGTTTAGGAGTTATTTCACTTTTGCTGATTTTTTAAGATTTCACGAACTTGCTTCATGTAAACAATGATAACTCTAAAATTAAAGGTTATGGACAAATCCGTTGATACCATTGAAAACTATGTTAAATTTCCAATAAGATGTGATCAATACTAAACTTATAAAAGTTCGGAAAATAGCGTTTTAGTAGCGAGAACTTTGAAAAATAATTGTCTTTTAAAGTTGAAAAACTTACTATGGTGATTTTAAACTACTATTTCCAAACCTAGAGACCAGCAAATTCCAGAAAACGTACTCCATTTAATTTCCTTTTTAGTGGTGTAATTCCTTCCTTAATTACTTTTTTCAAAGATGAAGAAAGTGATGAAGGAATGGAAAAAAACCGTGGCTGACGGATTGGTAAAGTGAGAAATTAAAAAAAAACTTAAGGAAATTTTTTAATGAATTTATCAAACTTTTTTTAAATTTGGGTTCGAAACCGAAATAGTGGGTTTACTTACTTACCAACACGACTGCTGACTTTTTTTTTAATTTCTCATCTTACCAATCCTTCAACCACGGTTTTTTCTTTTCCTTCATCAATTTCTTCATATTTGAAAAAAGTAATTAAAAAAGCAATTACACCACTAAAAGGATATTAAATGGAGTACGTTTTTTGAAATTTTCCTGGTCACAAGGTTTGGAAATAGTAGTTTAAAATCACCATAGTAAGTTTTTCAAATTAAAAAAAAATATATTTTTCAAAGTTCACTACTAAAACACTTATTTCATGAAGGTTTACAAGTTTACTATTGATCACGTCTTATTGGAAATTTAACTTAGTTTTCAATTGTATCAACGGATCTGTCCAAAACCTTTTAATTTTGTCGTTATCATTGTTTATTTGAAGGAATGTCGTGAAATCTTAAAAAATCAGGAAGGTGAAATAACTTCTAGATTGTTGAGATTCGGACCATACTTAATTAGGACTTTTTGGTTCCTTTTTGAATGTAGAATCTACTGGAAAAAATTGTAACACGAGTAGCCGAACACCCTGTATATATAATGATATAAATCCAAATATAAAAATAAAAATAAATATATATAAGATCAAATTAAAAATATCAATCGTGTCGATCAAAACCCCAAATCGTGACAGTCTCTCCTAATCAACTGTAATCCCGAATTATAGCATAGTCATGTCGAAATATTTCAACAGGTTTGTGCATTAAGATCGCTCAATCAGGACGGAGCCATCAAAAAAATAATTAATCTAGCTTTCAATCTGCAAAAGTTCTTCCTGGAGGCAATATGGAATGCCGTCTCCTGTTTTAAAATATGTGGTTCTGTCAACAATTTGCCAATAGAACAAAATGCAATCTATGGGAATCTCTTCTTAAAATTTTCCATGCAATTGCTAGATCTTCTTTACTATACTGTGCTCCGGTGTGGAGTCAAAGATACCTTGGTTTACTTTTGATCAAAAGCTACTGCTAGGTATGTAAACTTCAATGCCTATTTCTTGGTTTCGCAGGATTTAGCTTTTTCCCTGGTGCCACAATAGTTTCCTTGATATTTCCTTTCTCGATGTTACAAATTATCGAATTAAAGTAGGTAAAGGTAGTTGTAATATACTGGAAAATTAATTAAGGTTTTTAGTTGAGATAAAAAAGTCAGTGTCACGAGCGGGATTCGAACCCACGACCTTCGGCTAGATACGCCGCTACTCTACCACTTGAGCTATCGTGACCTCGATCCACTCGGACACTAACTTCCCATCTCAGCCCCACCTTTTTTAATTTTCTCTCCTTTTTGACATTTTTGAAATGTCGTCTATCTATTTGATTCTCGGCGACAAATGAAATGTCCACGGAGAGCTTTAGTGAAGAATACTTCATTTTAACTTATTAAATTCACTAGTTTTCCTGGTCCGCTTGACCAATTAATAACTTTCAATTAATTAAGGTTTTTAGTTGGGATAAAAAAGTCAATGTCACGAGCGGGATTCGAACCCACGACCTTCGGCTAGATACGCTGCTACTCTACCACTTGAGCTATCGTGACTTCGATCCAATCGATTTAATATTGATCACATCTTATTAAAACTTAAATTTTTATCTCAATTAAAAACCTTAATTAATTGAAAGTTATTAATTGGTCAAGCGGACCAGGAAAACTAGTGAATACTAGAAAATATTTGTTTTTGGGTTAGGACAAAAGTGAAGTAACGTTAGCGGCTTGAAATAAATACATATTAACCTGTCGTGGAAGCTTGAAAATTTATAAAACCAAGCCCATACTAGCCTAAAAAACTATGTCAGGATGGTCTTTCAGTCTTGACAAAATGTTTCCACGCAATCTACAAATTATTTCGTTATATTTTTAAAGTAAAATGAAGGCTGAGAACGAAGTAGAAAACGAAAAAGTAAATTTTGCAATATCTACAGGATCATTAGCGCAATTTGCCGAGGAAATACCCCCGGTACGAGATGACAGTCGAATGATTTGATTTATTACAAATGAAAAAGCAGTCTGTAAATCATTAGAGGGTTGGTCATTGCCATTTAACATTGATATTTCTGTGATTGATAGCTCGATTAATTTTCCAATCGATACATGACGGATTCCAAAAGGAGATTAGGAAAGGTGAGAATATAATCACACAAATTGCATAACGACATAATAAGTACAAGCTCTTTGGTTGCAATTTGTTCAAGGCATAAGTCGCAAACTATTGAGGAAGGCTGATCATCTGTATTGCAATTGCATGCAGGTTTTCCTCAAAGGAAGTCCATCTCATGATGCTTAATCGCCGGTTAAAGACTAAGCATCGAGCTAAATAACTCGTAAAATTAAAATAGAAAAGTCCCCGGACGGATCGTACAGCTCACAAGAAGTATTTCTAACCGAATAAAAATAATGTAAAAATTACATTTTAATGAAATATTTGATTTTGGTTAAAACACGTCTTTGAAACGAAAATTTGGTCGTTAACGATCAATTTGGTCTGCCTGTCCTCTTTGGGTGGTTCCATTTGAAGCGCCGGCATTACGTTATTTTTACAGAATCACACAGGCACACTGAAGATGACAGATGAAAGTATTTGGAAACGACCAAATTACAGGTTCATCAAACCTCAAACCACGCAAAGATTTAAAAAAACATATTGCCTTGTTATTTCATTATTTTCGGGATAAATATTTTTCTCTTATTTCCAGTTTTTGATGGGATCAATTTTTATTTTGTAAGTAATAAAGGCAAAGGCACAATCCATCCATCCTGGCTCAATCTGTTAGGATACAAAGCCAGATTGGCCGTTTTGGACAATTTTGTCTGCCTGAAATTTTCCGGTTGTTGACTTTTTATATTTCTTAGGTTTCTTTTAAGGGACAAGAAACCATCAAACTCATTTTCTTTTTATTGATATCGATTTCGGGCATCAACTTCCCCTCATCAGTTGTCTTTTTGGAAAACGAAAAAGAAAACAAAACTGATGAGCAGAAGCTGATGCCCCCGAAATCGATATTAATAAAAAGAAAATGAGTTTGATGATTGTATAGTTTCTGAAAAGAAACCCAAGAAATAAATATTTTTAATTACATAGATTTATACCTTCAAGTATGCGACATATTATTTATTTGAAAGAAATATTTATTGCTTGAATGAAGGGGCTTGTATCCCCAATATCCCGTACAATATCGAGTACTGTGGGGTAGTGTGAATAATTTGTAGTGTGATTATGTAATTTATTAGCGTGAATGGCAGGGTTTATTCCAAATTATCCGGAGGAATATCGAATACTCTGGGGTAGTGTGAATATGTGAATGTAATGTATTAATTAATTAATCTTTTTACGTAAGGTATTGAAATCAAATAGCCAGTGTCACGAGCGGGATTCGAACCGACGACCTTCGGCTATTTCGTGGGTTCCAATCCCGCTCGTGACGCTGACTTTTTCATTTCAACCAAGACTTTACGTAAAAAGATTAATTATTTGAAAGAAGTTATTTGGTCAGACCACTAAATATAATGCAATTTATTAACGAGAACGAGAGGGTTTATCCCCCATAACCCCGAGGATTGTCGACTACTCTCGGATTTATCTTGTTTCTGGGCTTTTGTGAGTTTTATCCACAATTAAGGAGGTACAAATTATATAAAAGAGATCATTGGTTACCGTTTTATCATAAAACATTATAACTTGGTTAGAATATGAGTAAAATAAAATGAGTAGGTTTAACACGCGAGAAAAAAAAAGTAAAATAAAAGAAATGCAAAGCTAGAGCTGGCGACGACCAATGTAAACTGACCAAAAATTAAAGGGATATTGCCAATTTTTTAGTATTTAATTTCCCTAGCATTTTTATTATACATTTTATTAAAAATTATGTTTTTTACTGAAGGAAAATTTAATTAAAGGATTTTGAAAAATAGCAAATATTTTAATTCCATAATTGTGTTTATTGGGCACAATAATATTTTAATTCCGTGTAATAATGTCCTCGGTTAGCTAAAACCTGCGTGCACTTGTTAGGCATGCTGTTAATATGGTTGTCACTAATTTCATAAGGAATTTCACTCCATAGGTGTTGCAACGTTGCACTCAATTGTTGCAGGTCAACTGGCTGCGGATGGTGATCGAAAAGCCTAAAACGCATCCCACATGTGTTCAATGGAACTGAGGTCTGAAAAAATGTGGGAAGAGGCCTTGCTTTCCCGTATACTCGGTCGTCACTACGAGTCCATTCCCAGTGTAACAGGGGCTGAACCTTGGAACATTTCTGTTACCCCGTAGTACAGATGGTTATGCACCCTCCCTCGTCTATGCAGACAGGAGCTGGTACCCTTACCTACGTGTGCCTCTGATAAGGCACCC